TGTAATTAAGATTTATTTCCCTTAAAATACCAATGGCAAAACCAAGCTAAAATATAAACAACATTTATAATCTATCTGATTTTCACCTGTTATATTATTATAACAACATAACATAAAATGAGGTTTCGAATTTATTGGGTAAGCTTTTAGAAAACATACACAAAAATGAGCCATTTTAAAATACAAAATTAACCTCATTAATAGTGTATTTTTGAAGAAATCGAAATAAAACCATACGCACTCTCGTTTTAGCCAGCACACATATTATGATACGCCTATGGAAGTATCTCTAATTTACATATAGATCATAAGGGTGATCAAATTTCATGTTTAATAATCAGTATCAATTGTTCGCATTCTTTAATGCAATTAAATGTTATAACTTATCTACGGTGTTCATTTTTTTTTTTTATCTTAACCATTCTTACAGTTTTCTGCATGTTCACGAAAATCGTCTTACACATGTATGCGAAATGTAACCAATAATAAAAGTACGATGAAATGGTCAAATTAGAAGATACGCTAATAAACTATTTCAAGAACACGAGTGTCAGTGCAATTTACTATAACTATGACAATGTTCTAGTTGGTTTTTTATTCAATGATTCTAGACATTGGAATTTGTGTTATCGGCAATAGAGATGTAGATATTTATTTTTTCAATATTCTTTCAGTTTTACTTTTTAGAATGCATTTATAGAAACAAATCTTCAGTTATTGATAAAAAAATGATGAAAGGTGTCCATTTCTCACTCAATATAAAATCCAAGCTCTCTCTCCTTTTCAAGAAAAAAGTATCCTATTGTAATGATTAAAATAGATTACTTATATAATATCTAATTTTAAAATCAGGCAAGAACTAATGCGAAATCAGACAACTTTGTCATGTTAACGTATATAACCAACTCCAGTAACACAACGTGTTACAAAAAGTCTGTCATAGATAGTAAGTATCTCAAATTCTGTTTATACATGAGAAAAAGTAATATTCTTTTCTTTTTTCTCTATATATAAACAAATTGAAAACAATACCAAGAACAAACAGAAACGCAAATCTATATTTATAATCGAAAGGCCGGGTCAACTCAGTTCGTGTAAGGTCTGTTTGATTCATGCACTCGTGCACTAAATAAATAATCTCATAGAGATTAACAAACGAAGCGTTCAAGGTACCGTGAAATCGTTATCAAATAAAAAGTTTAGGTAGATTTTGCTGATATGGAATTCGATATCTTTAATTTTATCATGATGAATAAAAAAATTCCGACATTAATGATACCTCCAAATCAACACTAACGGTTGAGTTACGTCCCAACCGTAACTAATAGGATAATAGCAAATCGGGAAACCTCTAATAAAGGAGTAATTCACAAGAAAAAAAGATACAGTTTTGTAAGTAGCAATGAAAATAAGGACAAGGACAATGGACATCAATCGACAGAAACTACGTTTCAAAATGCATCTGTATACAAAGTTTGAAGTATCCAGGTCTTCTACTTTCTGAAATATAAAGCTTTGTACAAATAGTTAACATTGTCTCCGCCGTCGCAACCGCGACGCATTAGCATCCGTAAGTCTCGCATTCCACGACCTTCGTCAAAAATAGAGAGAAAAAAAAAGTGGAAAATGTATCAATGAGATGGAAACCAAACAACTATAGGCAACACAACGAATAACGAGATTTCAACACATAGTACGTTAACGTTGTCAAACATAGGCGATCAATTTAATAAAATGCATAAATACATTGCACTAAATGCCTAGTAGAATGAATGACAGTGTTATATTTTTAACGTTCTAAAAAATACTGTGCGACTTCAATCGTGCCACTACAGTATATCTTATTAAAAGTTAATTTACTAAGAAACTTGTACAACCACTGACACAAAAGATGTCTGCGTTATTGTAGTAAATGCATTAACGAATAGACTGTTTTATAACAGGTCATGCTACCATATATGATAAAATGTTGTTGTTTTTAATACAATATAGTTAAATTAGTACTTCCTATAATCAAATAGATGGAAACGACACGGAATGAGCTAATTTTGTTGATTTGTTCTTATATTTCCTAGACTTTATAATACACAGGGGGTAAACGAGAAGTTGTTGTGATCGTGTTGTTGTAATCCTACACAAACTAAATTTTTAAAAATTTTCATTTGCTTTGAAACTGCAATTAACAAATGCCAACCTAGTACAAAAAAGTATAATAAAAATACCGAACTCCAAGACAAATTCAAAAAGGAGAACCACATAAAGCTACTTTTGTATAAAATCATTTTTGTAAATTTGTCAAGTAAGAATACCCAGAAATTAAAATGAGTTTTGATCCCTTGGTAGTCTTAAATGCAACAATTTATAAACGCATGTATTTCAATATTCTATTAACATATGTCACATCAATATACATCTAACTGAGAGACTCTATTATCAGATTTTTTTTATAAAGCTTGGAATGACCTTCCTATCCTTTTTTTGTATAAATATTCAAAATTTTGCAAGCAAGTGACAAATCGTAGTTTAGGGCAATCTGCAATTTGAGAAAACGTAAAGAATGTAACCCTATGTTGTCATTTAATCTTTAGCTAATCGATTTGTCCCGTAATTCTTTCTTTTGGCTTGATAGATGTGTTGATAAAGGTTATAACTACACTGCTGTTAATTTCATCTTATATTTTGGCGAATATGATATCGATACATTTATATACAGTTTTAAAGACGACTGTATTGTAATCATGTACACTAGTTTTCTTGGACATTCACAATATTCTGGATTTCTGCAATACTCATGAAATACGAAGACTTGATTAATATCGTGAAATTTGATAAAATGTAAAGGACTGTTTGGCCATGACCTTGTAGGTGAAAAATTGGACATAACAGCTTAATCAAAGTGCTGATGTACAGTATACTGTTTACTCGGACAATTGATGAATTATTCATAACGTTTTCCATTTCAACATAGATCTGCTAGGAAATACTTGGAGTTGTTTTCTTGCGTCCATAGTCATCTACTGCATGCATTTTAGCATGAGGACAAATAAAGTAATTATTTAATTTTGTACGTTCTGACGGCACAGAGAGTATATTGAATATGATCAGACGTGTTTTCTTGCAACAGGACACTAAAGACTCTCAAGACTTGTTTAAATGGTTCTTTACATGCCAAGTGAGTAGCATAGTCCGAACAGTAAGATACCGAATCTAATGTATTTTATCGCTTGTGTCTGTGTAAAGAGACGTCCTATCCCTCATAATGAGTTTTTAGACTGACTGGAGAGGTACAGGCGACCATAATTATTTCTAAACAAAAAAAAAGCTTGTTGCTGTCACCAGTATGCAGTGCTTCTTACGAAAAAAATTGCTTGACATTATCACTTTTCCTTTTTTTTAGACATTTTTAGAGTAGGCCTTTTTTAAAAAAAACAGTTGAAGAATTTGACATAAGAAATGAATTCAAGTCAGATTTATTGAAATGGTGAATCCAAGGTAGCGTTTTTTGCATATACAATGCATGTAGCTTCTATGCAAGGATTTATTTGCAGTTCAATTTATTTGTAATTAAATAACTATTCTGTTAAAAAACTAAATTTTGTTCAGCTGTATATATATTGAACTCGTATTCCACATATCATATACTAATAATTTGTTCAGTTTAAAGAAAAAGAATAAGCATTAGCAATAGTGAATCATGGGAGTATAATGCCTTCATGGTATAATCTATAGAGTTTGATGTTAAAGAGTATAAGCATTAACATTGGCATTGTAATGTGCTATAATTTTGATAGTTTATTGTAATACGTCGAAGTTAACACCATAAGCTCTTTGTAATTAGTGGTGCCTAATCCAACGAAAATGTAACAAGCAAATTGGAAAGTGTGCGTAACTTCATCCAAATGTATATTATATTGCGTTGTCTTTTATGATTATTTCTTCAACAAATCATTACATATAAAACGTTAAGCCTGTTACCGAAATATTCAGTAGCGTATTATGAAACATTAGTTGTTGTATTTGTTGTGTGATGTTTGATGTTGTTTTTACCTCTTTATTCAGGGGGAGTTATCCTGGCTTTAAATAACAAATAAAAGACCATAAATTCAGGCAATATTCTCTTGATTGTTAACCTGTTTAGAAATTCGGAGTTCCCTTCCCTTTTGCTTACAACATGAGTAAAACTACTAAAGTATAAGCTTTCATTCCCTCGTGGTTATCCGTAAAAACCTAAATCATGGATTTTAAGTGAACGCGTAGTGATTTAAATGATCATAACATATATCACTACCAACGTCCCAGCAAAAACCCACACTACACACATTTTAACTATTCAAAAAAGTTGTGAACAAAATGAACAGAGGTTATAAAGATCACACCAAATTCTCATAAACCAAAAATCATTAAGATATGACACAAGAAAACAACGTGCAGGTTTCTGGCTTGGAACAGAAACAATGTAAATTAACATGCAGCGGAGTTAAAATAATTTTTTTTCGATCTTTGCTTTTTCCTTTAACATCAATCAGTGTACCAACAGAAAGTACATAAAACATACTATAGAAATTAACTCTTTTATAACGGTATGAAAGAAAAAAAACAATAATAAACAATACTGTACTATATTTCAAAGAATGGTCACAGTTACTGAAAACAAACTCAAAGGGCCTGCTGATATACAACAAAATATTAAATCTATAAAACAAAACCGTTCTAAACTCGGTTGTTCACAATGCCCGACATAGTACCGCGTGTCGGACTACTAATGAAAAAGCCTATTATACAACTATCATGTCTAAAATAAATTCTTTGAAGTATTTCCAATTACAATTTTGTACAAAAAAAAAAGAAATCAATCTATATTCTAACGGAAACTATATCCACTTAGTTTTGAGGATTCATGATAATAAAAAAAATATTCTTATTCTTATCATGAATCCTCAATGCGAATTAATAAAAATTGGAAGATGTAAGAGGATTCAAAAGGAAGAATGTGTTCTTACCTTTTGATGCTGAAATACACAGGAGAACAGTATTCAAAATACTACTAATAAAACTAACAACAACAATGTTCTTCATGATTACACTGGATGCTCTGTCTATTCTTTTTCTCGTTGCCATTTTCACTTTCAGTTAAATCCTTGAACTGGAAGTATCTACATTGAAATATTTCTTTTTTTTTTAATCCATTTTCAAATTAAAAAAGTATACAGTTGCACCATTACTACTTCCTACCCAATGGTATCAATGCAAAAGTTTCTACTATTTAAGATCGCATTGATTAAGTTATTATACAAATGACTGACCCAACACAGATAAAATAAGTAATAATCAGGCTAGTTACTGTCGAGTATTACATAGTTTTAGAAGTAATCATTTCATTTCCTGGCGATAGCTCAACGTGTATAGAATTGACGATCAGATGTGAATTCATAGTACTTCTGCTTAAGCCGCTGACATTTATTGATGAAAATAAAACGATCGATTTAACAAGCCAATTCAACCTACAATTATGGTACATATTTTACAATCTGAGCAGATTAGTTCATCCAATCTGCTTAAAAATTGTGACACATGTTGTTGATGACAGATTTTGTAATTTTTTTTCATTTCTCATTAACCTGATATAAGATTATATAAATGAAATGGTGAAAAATAATCTAAGCAACAGTCACTTATAATGTTGAAGACGGTACACGAACCAGAACAATAGAGGACAAGAAACAGGCGGTCGGACAAAAGCAAACGTGTTCAATAACCAACACGACACGCTAAAATTTGGAAATAATCGGTCTCTATTAAAACCGTGAGTTAAATGATATGCTCCGGAAGGATAAGCATAATGCTATTTCTGCTCTTTGTGCGGGTTGTTTTCTCTATGACATATTCCCGTTTCCATTCTCAACTCTATATTTTATTTTACATTGAATACCCATTATATTGCCAAGTGACTTATTGTACGGAATTGTTTGTAATGGCTTAAATTGGTATAGATCAAATGATATACATGTATATGCCACTTTATGATTATTTCAATAATACCTGAATAAACTTAGACAACCAGTTCTCTCAACAACAATAAATCATTTCCATATGTACTAATGACATTTAACCATATGAAATAGTACCCTCACTATGTACCAATACTAACATACAAAATACTAAATATATTTAGAATAAACACAAAAGAACAAAAAAGAGAAGCAAAAAGGAAAGTATATCTACAATTCTTTTCATTCATCTTTCAGATAGTTCGTTGTCTAAACATATCTGCTAATACCTTATTTTACCTTATATTTTACTATGCGTATTTACATTTATAAAGCCCAAGTCCTATGTGTATTTCATTTTTAGATGAAATATGTTGGCAAACGTGTTTTCTAATGAGGTGAATAGTAATTCATAATACATTTAATGGCAATTTTACCCTTTTAATTTGAACAAACCCTTCCAGGATTGATTATAATCTTCCAACCACCCTTGTCTAAATTTATCTTTTAACTTTGACCCATTTGACATACGACAATCATTTATATTTTCTTAATGAAAAACAACCATCTATTTTCTAATACTACAACTGCTACAAATAATGTTTAATAGGAATATGGAAGTTGTTATCTACAGTCCGTTTCTATGTATGTTGGCGTTTGCTTTTGTTGTTTCTGTTGTTCCGTTGTTTTCCTCTTATAGTTGATGTGTTTCCCTCGGTTTTAGTTTGTTACTAGGATTTGTTTTTGCTAAATCGAATAATGACTACTAGTGTTAAACAGCGGTATACTACTGTTGCCTTTATTTATATAGACTAAGTATACCCAATAGTGTATTATTGTCCGTGTTATTAAAAAGCCGCATCAAAAGTTAATCAAATAACGAAACTGTTCTTCATAAATCGTTAATTTGGAGTCGACTGTTTTAATATCAAATATGCTTCCAGAAATTCGATTGCACTCCCTCAAGTATATCGTATTTTTTTCGTATCCCAAAAAGGAAGAATAGGGATAAAGGCTATGTCAAACACCTCTAGTTTGTACTCCGTCATAAGTGATTTAAACTGCTCTTTATCATAGCACTACACATGCATATCTTTAGTTGTTTGGTCTAGTAAATATAAAATAATTTTCTTGTTGCGAAAAAAGAGATAAAAAAGCATCTCTAGAGAATATGACACACAAAATATTATGTTTCTTAACGCTGTCCGATTTAGATCATTAGGTTGTTGTGTTGAACGTTAAACTTCACCTACATACTAACTCATTTTAAACTACTCAATCTCTTCATTTCAATATCAACTTCAATTAACCTGATAGAATACCTCTCGCTAAAACCATAACTTTGGTTTTTCTAACATTAATTTTCAATTTCCACTTAAAACAATATTGCGAAAACACCTATTTAAAAATAACTGCAAACAGTGAGTTAAATAGTTTTATCGGTATGTTATAATACAAACTGTTTTATGTTGATGTTTTGCACATTTTTAATATCAACTGTAATAGACTGCAAACTTTTAATACCAACATTTTCTAGATATTGCTTGAAATTGTTCAAATTTAATGGGAGAATAACAGAGGAGAAAGATTTCCCTTTGTCTAACACTAATGCCTGTACAAAATTTATTATTATGTACAATACGTGATGTAACATCAGTATACATATTTTTATATAAACTCTTATAAACTTTCCGTTTACATTATTTAAAAAAAACGTTTATTTAAAACAAAACTCCTGTTTTAAAAAAATTGAAAAGCTTTTTCAAAATCTACAACAGCCTAAATAAAGGATTTTTCTTTGATCTCAGAGAAATTCAAAACTTGAATATATAAAGAAAAGGTGATCAGTAATAGAGTAACCATATCGAAAGCCTACTTGATTTTCTTTCAACGAAATAAACCAATCGCATAAGTTAGAACATTTGTAAATGTTTCCTCAAGTAAAATAATAAAGTTAAAGGTCAACAATTTTTCGAATCTAATCTTAAAATTACCAATAAAACAGGCCTCCATCAATATACCCATATCAAAAATAAGGTTAAACGATGCAACATATGTATCAATGTATTCTTTGATTATATTATCTGCCCCAAGTGATTTGTCATTATTCGTCTTTTTAACAGCTTTATGAATTTCTTGTTAATACACAATTAGGTGTATCATTGTCGGAAGATGAACTCATGTCATTTTAATTAATAATATGTGTTCATCTTCAACTTTTAAAAAAAAGTCAAATGTTCACATTTGAAAAAAATAACTTTCCAGGTTTTTAATTTTCTCATAATATCACTTATATTTCCATTAATTTTCTAAATACTTTCATCCATCACTGTTGTATAATATTTCTCGCTCTGTTGCAATCTTTCTCTCAAATTACCTGACCCACAGTGTTTACAACGTCTTTGCGATTTCAACTTTGCTTTTTTGGAATCTATAAATGTAAATCAATTGACTTTTTGTCTAAAGTATTATACATAGTTGTACCAAAAGTAAGTTAGGTAGAATCAATCAAGAAAACGGAAATGTTTTGCACCAGATTATTCATGACTTATTTTGTGATAATTTAAAAGATCATGTTAAATATTGAGCTTGCATATTACACAATTAATTTTATTAGTATCAATATTTTTTCTGTACGGTTCAGGAATAATCTTACATCAGAACAATGCTTTGAATATAGTCAAACAATGAATAAGAAAAGAACTTGACGATTAAATTGGGTATCTTTTTATATTGTACAATTCATTGTGGCTGATCAAAAGTTCATAAAACTGACAATTTATATAGCAATCATTCGTATAAAGTTCAAAGCTAACTAGACAATAACAGTTATTAACACAACTTGATATTGATATTTTCTACAACATATAGCGTGCAAATACTGAAACATATTGTTATAAATCTTTAACGATAATTCGGGTATGGAAACCCTACAGAAAGTAATTGATCTGATAGACATTTCGACATTAGAGATCTTAACGGTATCTACATATAATGATTTGTTAGTAGTGGTTATCATTGCTGGTTAAAATTGTACGCTCAGAAACAAAATGATCAACAAAACAAGTTTATATGTTAAAAATGCCATTAAGTCTTTTTTCTGAAATAACACAACACGACATCCTTCACTTATAAGATGGCAAATTTCAATCGCCGGCTTAAAATCTATATATTATTTCCTGTAAATGTGATTTGGGAATGAAAATGTATTTGTTATTCATGAAAAATCACTACCAAGTACACAAGGGTCTGTAATTAAATCCGTAGATTTCCTGTTTCCAACGTAAAAATTGTTGTCGTATATAAATGCTATACATAGTTATAGTATAAGCTTGTGAAATATAATGACATTTACCAAGATTCATCACATCACTCAGAATATCAATGTTCAGCTTGTTTCGATATTTAAGAATCCAAGGTTATTAACAGTTTCTTTGCAAGATAAGTTAAAGCAGCAGTAATTGACTTAATTTTCATTAATATTCAGAGAGAGAGAGAGAGAGAGAGAGAGAGAGAGAGAGAGAGAGAGAGAGAGAGAGAGAGATAATTCATTTAACTGTTGTACTTGCTGAATATTATCTAATGAGAATCTTTAAAATACCATTTGCATAGAATGTACATAAAATCTATCACACATTTTGTCAAAATAAGCTTTAAAGACTCCGTTCTTTTCACAGTACCTTGTCCGGCGATGCTGCAATGGATTCAGTCAAGATATTGAGAGATATTGGACAGTAGATGAAAAGTGATACTTATTAACACTTTCCGAATGGATTAATGCTGTGAGATGATTGATATAGATCCAAAATAAGGAAAATCTAATGGTTTTATTAAAAATCATGCGCCATTAATCCTCGTAGACCAAAATGTTGCAAAACATCTTTTCTACCTTCACGACAAATATATTGTTGTCCCAAAAGACAAAGCCCGCATAAAATAGTTAATCATATTACATAAACTGCTTGATGAAGGAGTACGGTACAGACAACTAATTTTGAAATCCAACATATACTCCCTCGGAACTAACAAAATATGGAAATTCTGAACAATCATATATCTGTTTTATGTTCCTTTAGAATGACAACAAATAATGAAGTACGAAATCTTCATTAACTTACAGGACACCAAAATTATATATAAGTATCCTTACAAACAACTTTATATAGACGTTTCTGCCAAATGCATTTATTTTATCAGCAATGAAAACCGTACATCACAGTAACTGT